ACATGTACAAATTGTGGTATTTTATAATATAAACTACCATAATTTGTACATGTAATATTTAAAGTTCCATAAAAGTAAACAAAAAAAATAATATAAATATAAATTAAATATAATAATACATATAAATGCTATCTTTTCTGTAAACTTTATAACATTGACACAGGCCAGTGTCATTTTAGTATTATTTACTACTATAGTTTTTTTATTTATTTATTGATTGTTTTTTTTTACATTTTAAATCAGTTTATAATTTTTGTTTACAGTCTTAATTTTAGTAATTGTTTCATCATTTTATTTTATGTTTTAAACTACTTCTATATAGCTTTATTTTTATTATCATTTAATTTTTTCATTTTAGTTTTGTTAATTTTAGTACTTTAATGTAAATATTTATAGTGTGTGTTTGTGCGTTTGCCTAATTTCAATGAACAAAAATGACGTTTAATCACTGACCTACAATAGAAAAAGATTATATAGACGAGTGTTTTTAATAGAAGGACAAACTGAAATAGCCCTGGTTGTGCCTGAATTTAATATTTAAAATGTTAACATGAAATCAGTGCAGTCTGCACTTTAATTTATAGTCAACAACTTCATGTAAAGGCCATCAACAACTCTTTTTTTTTTCTTTTAAGCAAATTGTACTCACAAATGTTCCCAGTTAAATGAAACAGGTTAATAACACTCCTATCCCATGTAACAGATCAAATAGTGAGCAGAATGCAGGTTTGTGCTGGAGAGTTTGTGTCTAACCTGCATGCAGGTATTTGTTGAGTGAGTCGTGTAGATCCGGCACAGGTAGAGCAGACAGGCTGCTCTGATACTGAAATGTCCGTTCCGCAGTGGACTCGAGCACCTGATTATCCATTATTACTGGACTGATTCAACTGAGAATCAAATCAGACGAATACTCAGAACGACTCAGTGGCAGCTTGTCCAATCGTAATGTATCAGATTACAAATACACTTCTGCACAATCTGTGTTTACCCCTCCCTCCTAGAGACGTGCACTTGACTTTCAGTGCAGGATTCACTCTGGATTTAAGTAATGCATAAACAAATTACTGAAATCCCTTCATCATGCATATACATAATCAAAAAATTCAAAACACTACAAAAACATATGCAGGTCATGATGAACACACATAATGTAAACAGAAACATTGTCGAAGTGACTAACCTCAGTGAGACAAGAGACTGTAGCAATGCAGAAACAGAAACGGCTATAAACTGCACGAGTGAAACGGAGTCTTGCTACTTTACTGAAGAACCTCGAAGTGTACATTCAACACCAGATCGGGAATCGCTCCCGTTACCTTTGCCCTAATTACTGAACGTGAAGTTAAAACAGTAACAATGACTCGATCAAACATGGCTGCCTGCCTGAACAGATTTCAAAATAAACGTCGGCGAGCAGTGAAGGAATGAATGAAATGTTCTGTTCATTTTTAGACTAAATAAATATTTTCAGACATTTCTGAATGTTTTTCACTAACACAAAAAGCGCTGTTAGTAATTCTTTAATAAATGTGTGTGGTTAGAACAAAATCATTATTTTCAAAAACGTTTTGAAACTTACAGATCTATTGATTGATTCATTCAAATATCATCAATCACGAATGTCATTAAATTTTCCTTAGGAAACCTCAATTTAACATAAAACATCAATTTCCATGAAAAGTCCTAATGTGTGATTTAAAAAAAAAAGTATTTTGTAAAAAAACAATATCAAAATAATCTTTAATGCAGAAATTGAAAATATGTTTATCATAAAATGCATTTAAGCCATTCTTTGTTTGATTTACTTTCTTTAATGTACTTTTTAATACCTTAAATTATCCAGACAAGAATAATGATGGTCACATCATTGACTAGGCTATATATAAAAATATATAAACAACTTTTTACCTGGAAAAAAATGTTTATAAAGTTTTATAATAAATAAATAATAATAAAGGGAGAGAGAAAGATAAATAATTAAATGGGTACATCAACTATAAAATAACAACAAAAATTATTGAATAAATAAGAAATTAATTTAATTAAATAAAAAAGTTAATTTAAATAACAGATTCAATTACTGGTTTGTTGCAATTACACCTGTTTGATTCACTCAAGAGTTCTCTGGCATCTGTTCCTGAGTGCCTATTTTCCCCCTGATTTGGCCTGGCCTTGGCAAGATTTCCACATCTTGCATTCTGTATCCGATCCCAAGAGCTGTTGTGATGACTACGCTTCAGTGAGCACACTGAGAGGACAAAGAATCTCTTTGTGTGTAAGGGCACAATTACTGGTCCTCAAGCCTGAGGACTCAGCTAATACTACTGAAGCAATACAAAAAAACTCCCTGCAGAATTTAATATTGTGTTAAGATATGTAAAATAAAGAGAAGAGATTTACCATATTTGGCAACTTTATTTAATTACAAGATTATATTCTTACATCTTTAGGTCTCACCTGACTTGTAATGAGATACAGATAAGTGGTATCTCTATGAAACTAAGTGTCTTATCTTTTAATCTGTTAATCTATATGTTAAAAAGGTTAAAAAATCCTAGATTAATGTTTTAATCTTACAGCTTTTTCTTAGTGAAACTTTAATATCTACTTAAAACTATTAAGTAGATGTTTTCCCCAATCACATTCCATACTTTTCAATGGCTTCCTTGGCCAGGGAAATGTAGGCATTCATGGCGTCATCATTTGACATACCTGTTGGAGAAAAGAGTGACGACTATATGAATCAAGCCATCATCAGAAACATAACTGTAGCTGAGTACAAATCTGAATACAGTTTACATCATAAATACAAACAAGTGCAAGTACATTCCTTTTAATTGCTCGAAAATAATGAAAATATTGAGGGGAAAAAAGCAGGAAAAAACGTTTTTTCCTTACCTTTCCTTGAATTCATGCCTCCCATTTGGCTTTCCCTTTCAAATCCGTTATTCCAGGTTTGTCTGCACAAAACAGAACATACAGATTTGAACTATTAGATCTAAGCCTCAAGCTCAGATGTATGGTTTAATATAACTATTTATAATGGTCTACAACAATTACCAGTATTAATGTCCCCAACGATGGCTTGCTTGTAGAGGCCGTACAAATCCAGCAGCTCTTGGTCTGTAGGTCTGGTCTTCACTTTCTTTACGTTCTCTGCATATTGCTCAAATTCAGCCTACAGCCACAGAGATCATGATTAATTTTTTTCCCCCTGTGATCCTATAACAATATTATTAAGATCGAATGTGTAT